TACCCAGTCTTCCTTCCAAGGAGTGGCTGGTAGATTTGAACCACCAGCCTCCTGGTTAGCAGTCAAATGCTTAGGCACTACACCACCAGAGCTATTATCAATAGCACTGCAATAAAGAGTGTCACAGCTTCATCTTTGCCATCCTCCTCCCATTTAAGCATGGATTTTTAGAAATTGAATATCTTGATCAAAGTTATTATAAAATTATAAGACATTTAATATATATTTTAAACTTCCTTGCAGAAATTATTACTATTCTATTTATAATAATCCATATTTCCTCATCATTTTTTTAAATATTTACCATTTCATAGATAAATATATCATTATTTATTCATATTTTAATTTCTAATAAAGTTGAGGGAGCTCTGGTGGTGTAGTGCCTAAGAATTTCAATGTATTGGTTTATATGTGTATTACTTTTTTATATTTGCCCATTGAATGAATTTTGCCTACTTTTCGATACCAAAACTCACTGTCGTAGAGTCAGTCCCAACTCATAATGACTCCTTCTTGGGTTTCTGAGGTGGTATCTCTACAGAAGTAGATTGTCCAATCTTCCTTCTGAGGAGTGGCTGGTGGGTTTGAACTGCCAGACTTCTCCTTAGCAGTCAAATGCCTTAGGCTCTAGGCCACAATATTTTATATTAATTTATAAATAGTTGTGTGTATATTTTATTGTCAGCCAAAATCCTTTCTCTTCCATTGTTTCTGATAATCCCTTTTTCCTGAGATGGATTATTCTAAGCTAGTGTTGAATGTTTTTTAAACATAAGAAGAGTTTTGTGTCACTTTTCATATGGCTAATTTAGAATTTTTTAATCATAATTTTATTGTTAAATCTTCTGTCTTTCTTTAACCTATTTTTCTCTGGCATAGGATTGGCATTTGTTTTATGCTTGTTCATTTATTTAAATGGTATCTTAATTTTGTTGAAAATATGTACACTATTTATACATATTTTTAATGTACAAATATGTACATCAAAAGATACACCATTGCAACAATTTCCACATGTACAATCCAGTGACATTTATTACATTCTTCAGGTTGGGTAACTATTCTCACTATCCTATTCCTAATAATTCCACCACCATTAAATTCACGGACCCCTAAGATGCTCATATAACCTTTGTTTTCTCTCTGAAGTGTTCAGAATTTGTTTTCTAATGGAGGAATGAGACATCCCTCTCTCATTCCTGATGTTTTCTTTCATGTGTAGGAACATCTATTACTCTAACACTACAGCCCCCACTTCACACCCTTGATCACTCCTCCTGGGAAGATGGAGTCACTTACAGCATTAGTGAATTTCCCTTCATTTTTGTTCTCTTTTTGAAAGTTAGCATATCATCAGAAAGAGTAGACTTCCAGTTGCTCTTTCCTATGCAGTCCTACCTCTACTGGGAGATGTCTAGCCCTTCCTGTGATTAAAATGCCAAGTTTGCCTACTATTGAGCTTTGTATTTACCAGTAATAAAGATATAATAAAAATATATTGGTCTCCTCTTGACAACTTGCTTATTTATATTCAGAACATGTATTATCTTATCTCTTCAAATGTGTAATACATGCTGTGTTAGATAAGGATTATGAAGAAGTTAACAAGATAAGTATGTCTGTGAACAAAAGTAACACTTAAGAATTAGTCTTTTGAATAAGTCAATCACAGAAAGACAAATATTGTATTAGTTCATTATTGTAAAAAGTCAACGAAAGATTTATATATGGAAGGAAATTTTCTTTGTTGGTTACCAGAGGTGGGAAGGGAGGGAAGGGAACACTGCAAAAATTGAAAATAATAATAATTGACTGATTAATTTAAAAAATTAGTCTTTTGATGGGTAGAGGGATTTTGACCTCAGTGGTATGAAATGCCTCTTATTTTGCAATATTTTTGAAGTTTATAGTTTATGCATAACTTTTAACTATTAAGATTTCAGCAGGTGGCTACAGGTCTTAACCTCTGACAGTGTAAGATTTTAACCTCAGTAGTTTAAATATACAGTAGTATCATTTGGAAGTGAGTGATAATTTTATGTGTACATTCATTTCTCCAAAACTAAGATGTTAGTCCTAAATCTTAAGATAAGGTTTATGCTTCAGCACAGGCTTTGTCCTCTGAAAATTGGGAGCTGAATGAGTTTCTCCAAAGCAATGCATTCCATGGTCTTCAGCAAGTTTCAGTTGAATAGGCAAAATCAGCCTTAACAATTGCCCAAGCCACTCAAGGCTCAGCTACATACTATACAGCTTAAACTTGAACTATGCAGAAGAAGCTTTTTGTCAAGCTGGCAGTAATTTGATTTTTGCTGTAATGGATTGAATGATGTTTCCCTAAAAATTAATGTTCACTTAGAATCTGTGAATTTGACCTTATTTGGTAATAGAGTCTTTATAGATATAATCAAGTTAAGAGGAGGTCATACTAGATTACAGCGGACCATAAACCTGCATGGTTGCTGTTCTTACATAAAAGTGAAATTAGGCACAGAATTCAGCTACAGAGAGGGAATGTCATGTGATGATGGAGGCACACATTAAAGAAGCCAAAGAATGCCAAATATGGCTGACAAACACCAGAAGCCAGGAAGAAGCAAGGAAGGGCTGTGCTAGAGCTTTCAGAGAAAATATAGCTTTGCAAACACTTTTGTTTTGGACTTAAAATCTCCAGTAATTTCAAGAATAAATTTTTATTTCTCTAAATCACTCAGTTTGTGATCATTTATTATGGCAGTGGCTAGGAAACTACTGAATTCCTGCATATAAAGCATCCATGAAAATAGCATGTGCATACCTATAAGATGCACTGCACATATAAGAGACTAATGAACAAGAAGTTTGTGTTTTTTTTTTTTTTTTAATATATTATGTGAATGTTGTTTAAATGAAAAATACCAGAAGCAGTACAAAAGAATGGTTAGGCTACTCTGTTATGATACTTTAAATTACCTTTAGCTGCAAGACAAGAGAATTTGAAAATGTTAACCTTGATTTCTTGTTGCTTGTCCTCTGGTTCTAAAATAAATTCCTAACAAGTGGATTGAATTGTCCCTGGGTTTAGCAAATACATAGGTTCTGGCCAGGAATATAGATTTCCACCATCTAAATTGGTTCTTTATGTTAAATTAGGTAATTAATTTCATTAATGGACCAATCAAATGGGTGTATTTACAATAAGAAGAATATGCCATCTTACATGGATGAGAAATAGCTCATCTGAATGTCTGTGAACTTAAAGATTAAAAATGTGGTTTAAATATCTCTATTTGAAATGCTCTGTTTCCAGGAATCAAGTCTGTTTAGAAAATCAAGTGATAAAGAATGCTCTGGTTGTATAATCTTAACAGGAGCTGTAGAAAAATACAAATGAAAACAAAATAAAGGTAAATAGGGTAACTAAACAAGAATAAGAGAAATTAAAGAGGAAAGATTAGAAGTTTATGTGATCATTTGAAAGCCAGAAGCCTGCATCCAAGAAGCTGCTGATAACTGACTCAAAAGGTAATATTAAGAGAACAAAAGAGTAGATAGTAAATTTTTTCCTATGAAAGCTTGGAAAGATACTAGAATTCCCTGTACCCTGCGAAAACATACTCAAGAAACATCAGAAGCAAGGCACAGAGAAGGGAAGCGATATTAGGGGCCAACTTGGAAAGGACCAGATAGATCAAATCCAGGCCTTGGTTAAACAGACTGATGGGAAGATATATTGTGGGTGAGATTAACAAAAGAAGAGAGCTAAAGACAGTTTAACTTTTTTTAGAACACTAAGATTTTTGCAGACCAGCACCTACTGATTTCATATTTCTAAGTAGGGAAGTTTCTGCAAGGCAAAATCAAGATAATTATGTTGTGAAAACTGATGTATTGGCAAAAGCAAAAGCAAGTAAATGGAAAAGGCACTAATTCTAATAAACACTGCTGTGAAATAGAATGAAGAGAGCCAACTTGAGATGGAAGTTAAAATGCTAGAAATTCAACTGAGCATTACTTGAAAAAAAAATAACAACTAAAGGACAGAAAACGCTAAAGGCATGTTTCACTACTATCCCCAAAAGAGCAGAAGGAAATGTTACACAAAGTTGGGAACATGAAATATCCCAGGAAATTTATTATCTTACATAGCACATGGTCTTTACTTGGGCTATAAGGGTGCATACTCAGAACCATCAACCACAGCTTCAATTCAAGAACCTGCTGAGAGTGATTCCTCAACAGAAATAAATATGTGAGTGAGACATTCCCGGTGAAATTGCCTAGATGTATTAGGCTGGTTTCAAACACCTAGGCAACTGCATCACAACAGATAGTAGAAACCTTAAACAAGACACAATCTTGAAAGTGTCCATTCTGAGGTTGCTTAGTACAGAATTATGGTGTTTCAAGAGAGTGGTGGGGTTGGGGGAGAGGAGATAAGGAAGACTCAGTGATAAATTATGAGAGGTGAATATGTTGAATAGGAAAAATAAAAATAAAATAAAAGCATTTGAGTAAGACCTGCTGTCTGACTGCCATTGTTATCTGGTAAGCATTTTTCCTCTACTTTTTTTTTTCTTCCCTCTGCATATGTCTTGTTCCCTGCAGACTTAATGGAAATCTGTGATCAGGTTATATATCCCTTAGCATTCATAGCAGTGGACACTCAGTACATCCTATAGAATAGATTTTCAGTAAACAAATGCAAGATATGAGGAAGAAAATAATAATGTTGGAGGAACTCTGGATTCTTATTTATTTTCTATCATAATGAGTTTAAAAAATATACCTAGATCTCAGTTTTTCCTGCCAAAAGACACGAACACTAATAATAATAAGATAATTACAGCTGTACTAATGCTTTTACATTTCTTTGAGAAAATGAAACTCAGGTATGAACAGGATAGTATTTTTAAATTCACATGAATATTAAAGAGAGTAGTGAGGAAAAATGAACAAAAACAATATTCTTTTATTGAAAGCATTAATTTCTCCAATCTATAAATACCCACAGTCAAGATTTATCTCCTCACCAAAGTTGTTCTCAATGCTTTCTTTACATCCTTGTTCCTTAGACTATATATTAAAGGGTTCAACAATGGGATTATTGTAGTATAAAACACTGAGGACACCTTCTCCTGTTCCAGGGAGTTGCTTGAAGGTGGCTTGAAATACATGAATGTGATAGACCCAAAGAAGATCCCCACAGCCATGAGATGAGAGCTGCAAGTGCCAAAAGCTTTTGACCGTCCCTCTGAGGACTGGATGTGAAGGATACTGTAGAAGATAAAAGCATAGGAGATGAGGACAGCTAGAGTGGGCACTAAGGTGTTAAACCCTGCAATGATGAAAAGCAGAAGCTCGTTGAGGTGTGTGTTGGAGCAGGAGAGATTGAGGAGGGAAAGAACATCACGGAAGTAATGGTTGATGATGTGGGATTTGCAGAAGGACAGTTTCATCATGGCACTTGTATGAGTCAAGGCTGAAAGAAACCCCAGGATGAAAGCAGATAACACCAGTAATGAGCAGATGTGAGAGGACATGATCACATTATAGAGCAGAGGGCTACAGACAGCAACATAGCGATCATATGCCATCACAGTCAGGAGGTAACCCTCAGCCACCACAAAGACCACAAAGAAAAAGAGCTGCACCATGCACTCAGAATAAAGGATCATATTCTTCTTCCCTAGGAAGTTGATCAGCATTTTGGGGGTAATAACAGAGAAATAGCAAAGATCTATGAAGGACAAGTTACTGAGGAAATGATACATAGGGGTGTGTTGCAGAGGGCTGATAGCAATCAGGACAATCAAGCCCAAGTTCCCCACAACAGTCATCACATAGATGCCCAGGAACAGGAGGAAGAGAGGCAGCTGGAGCTCTGGCTGCTGTGTTAATCCCACTAAGACAAACTTGATTGTAGTGAAAAAGTTTCCCACAGACATTCTTCTTTGGGGAGTTCTGTGGAAATGGAAAATAAAAAATTACATTAAATTGTATCTTAACTATCCTAAACAATGCCAAGCCTATGCAAGGGAGGTTGACAGGAATAGAAAGACTGAATCATAAGTTCTCCTTGATTCATCCTCTTTGGTTGGGATACCCTACCATATCTCCTTACGCATCCTGAGCCTCCAAATTGCCCGGAGTTTTAATTTAAAAAAAAAAAAAAAATTTACCTGACTTGCTTGAAAACTCTAATTACTTGAGTTTAGCAGAAAACCCAAAGCCTCCTTTTATGGAGAAAATTACTAGCAGGTATTTGTAGGCAGTTAAATTGAAGACAAAATCATTGCCTAATTCTAATCAGTCTTTCACCTTTTCTGATTTTCTCACACTTCAGGTCTGGTAGACACTCCTGCATCAACTGGAGAGAAAGAAGCCTGAGTATTGACAATGTCACTTTTACTCATAATTATAGTGATGGTGGAAATAATGTTGTGTGTGAGGGATCTGATTATCTATCACTTTATGAATGAACAATGTTCCTAACAACCCAGTGTAGCAGTATTCTAGAAGAAGAAATGCTCATGTAATACCTCCTGGCCCTCCACTACCACAAGGATGGGACAGGCAGAAAGCTTTGCCATTGAACTTACTGATGAAAGATAGTGTCTTGTAACCTAAATGTGTAACAGTTCACAATGAGAGTCTTCTCAGACATCAATCATCTTTGATTGGCTCTAACCCTGCCAGTGGACAGTTACTCTATTATTTATGCAAATCCAAACCCTACTGAGTGGCTCCTACTGTGGTAAAGAAAGGAGATTCTGAGGATATCTGTGGAGAGTGTTGCTGACTGGAGTAGATCTTGAACTTTCCAAAGCTTGGTATGGCTAGTGCACTGGCCTCAGTTTCTGAAGAAATATTTTCTGTATATTTTCCAGAAGAAACACTGTAATCTAGCTAGTATACCCTTTTGAAACACAAATTGTCTCCCAGGTGGAGTCATTTTTTATAGATGTGTATATTAACAATATTCCATTCCATTTTCTTATTTCAAAATATTCAACGGTTACACATCCGCCCTTCATGAAAAAAAAATCAAAATTTCTTAGCTCACATTTAAGATCTATAATAATGAAGCTCGAGCATGACTTTTCAGTTTCTTTATTCCAGTACTATACAATCAACCAAGCATGCCACATTCCAGTTATATAGGCACAGACTGTACATTACAAATACACTGAAATGTATATCACATATACTCCAGAAAGTTTTCAGGCATCTACATCTCTTAAATGTTTCTCTCTCAGCCTCTCTGTGTACCTCATTTGCATTATTTTTACTCATCTTTCTTGACTGAAATTAAGCATTACCTCTTTGAAGTCCCTGGCACAAGTGTCCCTTTAACATTTTGTATATACCCTTGTTTTAACATTCAGTGCATTATACAATGACTCCCACCCCACCCCCCCACAAACTCTGCATTGGGCATGAAATTCTTTAAGGGAAGGTACCATATCTACTCTGTTTTGTGCACCTAATGCTTGAATCAGGAGCTCTGGTGGCATAGTGCCTAAGGCACTTGACTGCTAACCAGAAGGCTGGCGGTTCAAACCCACCAGCCACTCCTCAAAAGGAAGCTTGGGCAATCTACTTCTGTAGTGATATCACCTCGGAAACCCAAGGAGGGGTCACTGTAAGTCAGGTCCAACTCGAAGGCAGGTAACAACAACAACAATGCTTGAATCATAGTGAGAATTCATAAATATTTTCAGGAGAAAAATACTCTCTCCATGATCATTTCTCGAAGATGATTGTGTTGTTAGAAGGAGTACAAAACATCAGCCAATCACATTTTTTATTTTTTTCAAGCTTCAACTCTCCATCATCTTTCAATTGTGTTAATATCTAATGAAATTGGTGATTTTTCTCTTATTTTAAGTGTTATATTTATTAAATTATTACATCCCCAAAGTCACTGTTGTCGAGTTGGATCTGACTCAGAGTGACCCCTCCTTGGGTTTCTGAGGCAGTATCACTGTGGAAGTAGATTGTCCAACCTTTCTTCTGGTTAGCAGTCAAATGCCTTATATTAAATACAAATTTGTAACTACCCGTAAGTGAATAAATCTGAACTAGTTTGCTATTTTTATTTTAGTACTGACTTTTTCCCACTTTCTTTATTTCATGTCTTCCTCCTATTTGCAGAACTTTTAATTAACTTATCCTCAGATTAGTTTCAATATACCTATATAATTTTATGTGTATGTATACACACACACACATGAATTATTTTGTTACTCACTTAGAGGCTAAGATACATTATTACACACACATTACTTTGCATCTTACTATCTGATCCAAAAAATACTTTCAAAATCTTTGCATTTTCCCATCTGATCCAAAGATACTTTAAAAAATTTCCTCCAAAACAAAATGTGTAGCTTGAGTTTATTGTAAATAATGACATATTATTCAGTGATGTAGACATACCATGAAGAAAAGGTATTTATGGGTCAAGGAGCTCTGATTTTTTTCTTCGTATAAATGGCAGTAGATTTCCAAAAAATTTCCAAAAAGCTATGATAATATTTTGTGTAATAGTATGTGAATACTTTCTCTTTTTTTTATGAGTACCTTTTATCTTGCACTCTTTCTAGTAAGGGTAAGCAGTTCAAGCACACCAGCCACTCAGTGGAAGGAAAACCAGGCAATCTACTTCTGTAAAGATTTACAGTCTCGGAAACCCAATGGGGGTTGGTAGGAGTCGGAAACCACTCCATAACAGTGTGGTTTTTTGTTGTTGTTGTTGTTACTAGTAATAGGTTTGATTATTATTTTGGTCAGTGTGATGGATGTTACATGGTAAATAATTGTTACTTTGCCTTTTTTTTTGGGGGGGGGTCTTCTAGAGAATTTAAGTATATTTCCATACAGTTTTAGCAGTTGATAATTTTTCTATTGGGGTGGTTTATCCCTTTCTTGTCAATCTGTAGATATTCCTTGTTTATTATAGAAATTAACTTACTGTCCTTTGCATTTTTATCTTTTCTTAAATTTATTGTTTATGTATTATTTTACTTATATCATTGTTAAGTAGATTTTTAAAATTTTTAAATAGCTGAGTATATTTAGTTGTTCTATTTGTTTGGTTTGGTTTGCTTTATTCTGCTTATAGCATCTAGATTTCCAGTCTTAATTAAGGAGTCCCTACATGAAAGTATTTCTTCTTCATTCTAGCCCTTTTCCCTTGTTTTGTATAGTGAAAATATTTTAAGCTTCTAAGATATAATGGGAAGATTTGGTAATGACTAGGTTTTTAAATATGTAAATCTCTAAATTTGGAATATTTTAGAAGATTTGGAAATATTAAGTTTTTTGGGGGGTCAGGTGTTGTATTAAAGGCTCTTTATCCTATTTGGGTTAGGAGTTCCTTTGGCAAGTGCTTCTGAGGGCAAAATCAAAGAATACATGGCTATGAAATCTGAATGGACTTTTGGTTTATCTCCTACTGGCCAGAGAACATCCTTTCTCTGTACTTGAGTCCAACTGAGAAGATAAAAGAGAAGGAAGGAATTTATGTTTAATACTCTGTCCAAAAGTGAATACTCTTCCCTGGGCTTGTATCTTTCCTGATATCTTTATCTCTTAGACACTTGTGTGTTCAGGTTAACAGAGAAGACAATGGACATAAATAACACATATATAAGAATAACTTTTGGGACACAGCAGTTTTAGAATCTTACAGAAACTCCAGTGAGCCACTGTGCACCACAGCTGATGAACTTAGACTGGGAATCTGCTTCAAGGTATAGAATATGACCCCAATTGAATATAAGTGGGAAAAGTTAATAGAAGAGGAAAAGAGAGGCCATAATGATGCAAAGATATGGGAAATTAAAAAAAAAAGAAAAAGAAAAGCAAGGGCAAATGATCCTCAATAAAACCAAAAAGTTGCATGTGATTAGTAATGTAGCAAATTTCCATTCTGTTATTCTATTAAATATAATATAATTACCATAAAGTAAACTAGAAACTTACCCTGATCTTGCAAAAACTAAAGCTCTTAGTAATTGCTTTCTTCGCTCACATCACAGATCTCTTTTATAGACAACAAAGGACAAAGTACCTCCTACTGCCTGATACACATGTCTATAAGTCAATGTTAAATTATTTTGTTGGCTAAAAGTAAAACAGAAAAATTCATCTGACATGACAAACTGGAACTTAAAAGTAAGAGACTGATGTGACATGGGACTTTGAGGTTTAGTAAGCTTAGGGACTTCATTAGAAATAAAAACACACAAACACACTCACAACAGGTCCCCCAAGATGTATTGTGCCATGAGTTTTACTGGAGAACTCAAACACTTAATAATTCTCTACAAAAATAATCATCTTGTTCTGGGTCCCTGATTGATATTTGTCCCAAGGGTAGTGAAGGTGCTGAAAAAAGTTTGCTATTTTATATTTTCATATTCCCAGTGAGGACTCTGGAACAAAGAGGAATTAGATTAATAATTCTCAAAAGCCAGTTTGCAGGTAGTTGCTAATTTTTTATTAAGATCTCCTCAGTTAGTAGAAAAACAGCAGAAAATAGACCATATATTTTTTTCCTAAAGGTGAATATATTCAATTTAAAGATGGTCCTTGTTTTAAGGTTATAATTTCTACATATTTTAAATGCTTTGGAGCTTCAAAATACCATTTTATTTTATGATATTGTGCTGAAAGTAGGTAATAGTCTGATTTTTTCTTAACTTCTTATTTGTCAGCTAATTTTCTTGCTTGTTGTATTTGAATGTCTTTTCTAGGCAGAATGAAAAATCGGTAACATAATGGTGGTCCATCAGTAAAATTTTATGTCCCAGGATATCCAAACCCTGAGAACTGCAGAGTCACTTGTAGGATATCCTGTTTTCCTTTCCTTTCCAAGCGCTCAAAGCTTTTGACAGGTCAGAAATCTCCTGGAACTTGAAACAAATATTCCATGAACTCT